CCAGGTCAGGGCACATACTCCGGCTGTGGGTTCAATCCCTGGTTGGGACACATGAGGAGGGCAACTAATTGATATTTCTCTTTCTCCCTCTCTCTCCTTCTTCCTCTCTTTCTCGATCTCTCTCTCTTTCTCTCAAATCAGTAAATCTATCCTCAGGTGAGGAAATAAATAAATAAATAAATAAATAAATGTAAATGTAAATGTAAATGTAAATACATCCTATATAATAAAAGCGTAACATGCAAGTTGTCCCCAACCAGGAGTTCCACCGTTCACTATGATGTGTGCTGACCACCAGGGGGCGGTGTGGAACATGGCAGGCGTCAGCAACTGCAGTGTGTCCACCGAGCTTGCTCTCACTCCCCCTGCTACCCTCCCCTGGGAGGCCAGAGCTCGCACACCAGGGGTCTTCCCAGTGAGCCCGGCAGCAGCTGCCAGAACCACAGGGGCTGGTTGGGCTCCCCATGGGTTCACTCAGGAGCCAGTCTGCGAGGCCGGCTGAGAGAGAGTGTGCTGCCCACCCGGCTTCCGTGCAGCACTGCTGGGCAGCCCAGAGGCCATGCTGCTCCCCGGCCCACGGCATCCAGCCATGCTCACCACATCTCTGCGTGGGGACTTGGGCGCCATGACTCAGGTGGAGGGGGGTACACGGGAGTCCGGGGGCCCAGGTGCTGCCCAGGTCCCAGCGGTCAGCTGGGACCTGCCCTTCCACGCCAGACGTTCATACCTCAATCGCCGGCCAGACCTAGGGACTGCACCCATGCACGAATTTCATGCACCAGGCCTCTAGTAAATAAATAAAATAGGGAGACATGGCTAACGGTAGGGGCAGCTACTTTAGATGGGGTGACAAGGCAGAGCTCCCAGAGGAGGCCAGGTGTAGCCCAAGGCTCAAAAAACAAGAGGAGTCAGCCTGTCCCAAGCATATATATCAGCAAGCACAGAAGCCCTAAGGCTAAAGCATTTACAGAAAAAGCCTGAAATGGGAAGTATTTCCAAGTAAACCAGCAGAGATAACAGAATGAGATCCTGTAGATGGGACTGAATCAGGGAATCTGGGAGAGGTGTCTGGGCTTCAGATCCTGGAGAAGGAGCAAACTTGGCTAGTATCTTCCTCCCACCTCACAGTGTTAATAACAATTGAGGAATAAAAAAACTGGATCAGCTTGGAACTGGACTAAGATCACACAGCCGTTCATCAGCCAAGACAGCCACCTAGAGTGCGAGCTCACCCGAGGAACTGGCTTCCTCCGCCTCTGGTGGCCCTCTCAGCAGACCCCAAGGGTACAGAGAGCCACCAGGCCCCTCGGAGTCCTCAGCCCACTCTTTCTCCCTGCCCACCCCAAAGCACTGGGGTCAGCTCATCGTCTAAGCTAGCTAATGCGGTGAAGGGCTGTCATCTCAGAGGCCTTCCAGCCTCTGCACCCAGGACTTCTCTGGTTCCTGGAAAGCTCACCAACGCCTCCTCACCTTGCTCTCCCTGCCTCACACCTCCCAAGCTAAGTGCTTACTGACAACTGCCCTCGCTGGCTATACTCACACACACCTTCCTGACCCCTTTAGGTAAGGTCTCTCCAGCCACTCGAACTGGACCACAAATGAGAGACCTTCCCAGTGACTGTCAACGTTCGCCCAGCTCTCGAAGCCCCATAGACCAATAGTCGGCAAACGGCGGCTCTTTGGCCCCTTGAGTGTGGCCACGAAGTTTCAATCGCACTGTACGTGCGCGCCCGCACGTGGTATTTTGTGGAAGAGCCACACTCAAGGGGCCGCAGTTTGCCACATGTGGTATTTTGTGGAAGAGCCACACTCAAGGGGCCGCAGTTTGCCGACCACTGCCGTAGACCAACCACCCAATACTCCCACCACCTGGCCCGCCAGTTGTCACCCCAAGAACCAAGCACACTCCCTGTAGCTTTCACAGCCATCATTCTTCCACACCAAGCACAGGTCAGGGGTTGTGTTGTGAGGATACCTGCTCAAGTGGGAATAGTAATAGGTACTCACTCGTCAATACTCGGTACACGTTTAGCAAATAACTGACATCACCCTGTCCAGTGCCCGAGCATGCTCCATGGCTTGGGGGAGGGGCGCATTTTATGGAATATGAACTTCAGCTCAGTTAGAGTAATAATGTTATTTTATTATCCAACTTCCCCAGGTACTCTTAGGAATACAATGGGGTGCTGTTAATGATTACAATGTGGTTAGGGGTGCAGTTAGAGCCACGTGGTACAGGTGAAAAGAAAAAAACTTTTTAACTTCTTGAGAAGAGCTCTACAACCTTGGGCAACAAAAAATTTTACTTATTACTGATTTCATATCAAATCGAGGCGTGTGTGTGTGTGTGTGTGTGTGTGTGTGCGCGCGCGCGCGCACTTTACCCTTTGGGGAGGGGGGGAGTGGAGGGAGGGAGGCTGCTACATAGTCCGGGGCCCAGGAAAGATCTGGTTCAAAGCCTAAGTTTTGTGGTTTTGTGGGCTTCAGTATCCTCTTGAATAATAATTGGGCTAGCAATTATTTGTGGCTAGCAAGCCCACAAAACTTAGGCTTTGAACCAGATCTTTGTGTGGCCCTGGGCTAGTTTTCCACGTGTATCTTGTATTAATAGCCAAATAAATCATTTCCTTCCCAAATAAAAAGACGAGTACAACACAGAGTCATGGCCTGTTAGGAGACACAGAGACAATAAACACAACCCACCCACCCCCCCTTTCTCTACAATCTAACCAAATGCCAAAATCCATCAGGAACCAGGGGACACTTCAGAAATAAAGACTGGGCCTGAACATTGACACCAGATAGCTAGTCCTAGAAAAAGAAACCATACGTGATGAGTGAGATAAGCTTTTGGAGGTGCCCCTCTTAAGGTGTGTAAGGACAGGAGAATTTCTGCAGAAGCTAAAACACAATGTGGTTCCACAAGCACACCTGTTCCACGAAGCCGCTCCTGGGTCACACGGGCTCCTCCAGCAAACACATGTCTGAATGTAACTCCCTCCTCCACCTTCCCAAGATCTTTGCAGGGGATTTCAACATGCTGAGGCTGGGAATCGGAGAGCCCTGCCCCCCCTCCACTTACTGAGCTGTTTCGCTCTGGGCTGGAAATTTAACCTCTGCACTTCCGTTCCCTCAGCCGGAGGCAATAACCTCTCTGCACCTGTTCGCTCAGCTGGAGGCAAGAAAGTGACCACTTGGCAAACTGCTTATAAATGTTAATCATGGACAGTAGCAGTCTACCTTGCTTACGGGAACTTGCATAGTAAGGTAGAAAACTGTTCAGCAAAGTCTCAGGAGGTGCTGGAGTGGTCAGAATGGCTGTGCCCAAGATAAGGGGGACACAGCCTCTGACTTCAGAGAGGGACGGGAGCTGGAAAAGATAGGGGGAGAGGAGCAAAGGCCTCCCCCTGGTAATCAACCAAAATCTTCACAATCACCAAGTGTCACGATGTGTAGATTTTTGTGGAAACCAGTAAATGGGGCTGACTTTCTGAGGGGGAGAAGGGAGAGAAGAGAGTTCATGAGAACAGAGGAGATGGCAGAGGCCTGGGGAAGTGAGCAGAGAGCACAGAACAGGCAGGAAGTGTGGACGGGACCTCAGGCCAAGCTGGCTAGCTCCGGAGAGCCGCAGGGCCCAGCTGAGATAGCTGCCTGGTTTCCTGCCCTGTGGCCACCACCCTGGAAGGACACACGGCCTCGCTCATGCCCGCGTTCTGCACATGCTTGGCAGGATCATCCTTCAACAAACAAGGTGCTGCATCGGTGTTCATGTCCACCTTTTACATCCTTAAAATGCTTGCCAGGAATTCAATCTGAATACGTGAGAGGGAGAAAAACCACAAAACTTAGGCTTTGAACCAGATCTTTGTGTGGCCCTGGGCTAGTTTTCCACGTGTCACCACTTCTTAAAGTAAAACTTTCCAAGAGAATTAGCCTAAGGTGACAGGGAATCAGGAGGCTGAGCTGCTCAGTTGCCCCGCAGAATTCAGTTTAACTGGCACAACCCTCACCCGCCTCGCACACTGCCTTTTCCATGACCCTACGACATTCAGTAGTAGCTGCTGTTTTCTCATTTTGTCTGCCCTCAATAGACGCCTCAATTCCCAGAAATGAAAGGCCATTAAAGTCCCCTTTCTATGTTTGTGAGTGGGCTCCTCCGTAGGGTTCCTTCCTGTTGCACCTCATCCTTCCTGGAAAGGTTTCTTAGAAAATGTGCCTGGGGCTACAGGAAAGGAATCCCTCCCGAGGAACACAGCCTTACGGAATTTCCCTTCCAAAGACTTCAATTAACTCTCTGAGTGGCTCCTAGCGGAGATTACCAAAATCCACTGGAGGGACTGATTTTCTCTTTCAAAGTTTTGTCTTAAGGAAAAACTTGGACTACATTATATTCTAAATGGGGAGAGGAAAGGAGATTGAGTTTGCCTGAGAGAACAATAAAGCCATCTTTTTTATTTTTTTTCTATTTTTTATTTTTGGCTATTAATACAAGATACACTGAAGACTTGCATTGGGTTTTCCCAAAAGCAAAATAATGTGGTAAATTTGCATATACACTGTCAAAGCGAAAGTTCAAAGCATGAGTCTGAGTTACCTCATAGCCTGGAAGAACAGAACAGCTTACACTGGACAGCCTGATGCCAAAGACGCACCCACCTGGTGCTGGGGAACCAACAGCAACAATGAGTAATCCATTTCAATAGCAAGAATTCTACGTGGGACGCCCAGACTGCCTGTCCAGGGACAGACGCTCTCCTCCTAAGCAAAGCACTCTGAAGGGTTCATGGGGATTGGGGCTCCACCTCTGAAGAGTTTTAGGGATTTTCCTGAATTCAATTCAAAAAATGAGGAGGCAGGTCTATAATGAGGTCGACTAGAGGCGATCAGAATCCTTGGGCAGTTGAGTCTAAAAGAGGACAAACTACAATACAGAGCAGCTCTGATCCATGGCAACCAGTGGCGCCAACTCCCACAAAGACTTCTAGGGGGCACGTGGGGGTTTTAGCTGCTTGGGCTACCGTAATAAAGTGCTACAGTTGGGGGTGCTTAAACAACAGAAATCTATTCTCACAACTCCAGTTCCACAGGCTAGAAGTGTGCCATCAAGGGCCAGGTATGGAGAGGGAAGTTGCCAGGAGGAGCTGTCTTAAGCAGCTTCAGCCACATTGCTCTGGCGGATGTACTAGTAATAATTGTTAGGTCGGAGAGAGCCCAGGATCGGATACATGCAGACATGTGATGAGACAATGGACTCCCCCTGGAATTTCTCACAGATCAACGTGCCAGACACAGATACCGGCTTCTTCTCCCTGAATCCACATACCCTCACACAGATGCTGACTCATTCCTGAATACCTTGCTGACCCCCCTGCAGCTGAAGCTTCCTCAACTGAATACCTCAGCTCATGTCCCTGCCCCTCACCCAACCGCAGTATAAAAAAAAGCGCCCCCCTCCATGTTGGCGTGAATCCACGTGCCCTGTCTTTGGGGGTACGTGGGTCTCCCGGGGACGCAGAATAAACCTTTTCCTTTCCTTTCTTTTCTGATTCACTGGACTCTCTATTTCTTGCGCCACCTCCTGAGCCACCTAACCTAACATTTGGTGCCTTGAAACC